GATTCTCCCAGAGGATCCCCTCCCAGAGAGTATGTTGTATTCATATTTTTACCAGCATTCATGGTACCTGGTAATCGGCCAGCATGCTAAGTTCCCCCCACCCCAATCTGGACACACAGATCCATATCTGGCAATGAGATCTGTTCCTGCCTATGATAGCATCTATATCTATATAGCCACCTGATCACTTTTAGTGTGGGCGATTTGGTTCTCTCAATGTCCCTCCTTCCCTGTGGTTTCTGGGATCTCCCACTGTTCCTGGGACCACATCAAACAGTTTAACCCATTGACGCCTATGCAACAAAAATACGTGGACTCACAGAACTGGGCTTTTTTTCCATGGGGGTCACATATTTGCATACCTGTCTTTCTGCTGGGAGTGCGCCGCACAGTGCACTCCCAGAACAAAGACCAGGGTGTCACTGAGACCAACGGGTCCCCTTATAACAATCGGGACCCGGGACTGCCAATTCCGGGTCACATGATCGCTGTGATACCCTCTGATTGGCTATCACAGTGATCAGTCACTTTACAGCCCGGCCCCCTTGTTTTTTTTTTATCTCTATGAATGGAGGAGAGAGATACTTAGTATCTCTCTAACTCCTGGCATAGAGAGGAAAAAATGTTTGTAAAAAAAAAAAGAAAAAAGTTAAAGAAAAAATACCTAGATCAAGGTTAGATCTATTTCAGTGCCAGGTTAAGAGTTTGGGTCAAAGGTCAAGGTCAAAAGGTCAGGGTCAAAGATCAGGATTAAAAAAAATGGTATCAGTGTCAGTTAGTGTCAGTGTGTTTTAGGTAAAAAAACAAAATAAACAAAATGTGCACTATTGTTTCTGGGCTGTACTACGGGTACAAACAACAAATAACATACACATATGTGTGGTATCGCTGCGATCGTCAAGAGCTGGAAAATGTATTTTGGGTTGTTCACTGGTGGTAGGTTATGGTAGTAACAAGAAACACACAGCTAAATTAAAAAAAAATATATTTTATTTTACTATTTTGGGCCAGTTTTCCTTTGATAATAAAAAAAAAAATCAGGAGATATCCATTACCATGTACCACCAAATGAAAGCCCAATTTGTCCTGAAAAAAAGCGCGGTATAATCCACCTGGATGTACAAAGTAGTTGTGATGATATGTGCGGTTTTACTAACACATGTCAACGTTGCAAAATTGTGCTTAGGCATTAAGATTTGTTTTACCCTTAGGCATGAAGGGGTTAAGGATGGTGAGCTGGAGGAAAGCGAGGAACAGGTTACTGTATCCCTCTCTTGTCTTACACCTGTTTCCATCCATATTGGCTCATTCATTCCCCTGGTTACTAGAGGAGGTATTCTTCTCCAGCAACGCTGCTCTTGAACTGATATCCCAATATGATCTAACTGGACATATTCACCAGAATAGATCAGCACAGGATTAGCCTTTCTGACACTTTTCCCTCTTCCCCAGAATGGATCAGCACAGGATTAGCCTCTCTGACACTTTTCCCTCTTCCCCAGAATGGATCAGCACAGGATTAGCCTCTCTGACACTTTTCCCTCTTCCCCAGAATGGATCAGCACAGGATTAGCCTCTCTGACACTTTTCCCTCTTCCCCAATATCAGCTAACTGGATATATTCACCAGAATGGATCAGCACAGGATTAGCCTCTCTGACACTTTTCCCTCCTCCCCAATATCATCTAACTGGGCATATTCACCAGAACGGATCAGCACAGGATTAGCCTCTCTGACACTTTTCCCTCCTCCCCAATATCATCTAACCGGGCATATTCACCAGAATGGATCAGCACAGGATTAGCCTCTCTGACACTTTTCCCCTCCCCAATATCATCTAACCCCATTCACCAGAATGGATCAGCACAGGATTAGCCCCTCTGATACTTTTTCCTCTACCCCAATATCATCTAACTGGGCATATTCACCAGAATGGATCAGCACAGGATTAGCCCTCTGACACTTTTTTCCTCTCCCCAATATCATCTAACTGGGCATATTCACCAGAATGGATCAGCACAGGATTAGCCCCTCTGACACTTTTCCCTCTTCCCCAATATCATCTAACTGGGCATATTCACCAGAATGGATCAGCACAGGATTAGCCTCCCTGACACGTTTCCCTCTTCCCCAATATCATCTAACCGGACATATTCACCAGAACGGATCAGCACAGGATTAGCCTCCCTGACACTTTTCCCTCTTCCCCAATATCATCTAACCGGGCATATTCCCCAGAACGGATCAGCACAGGATTAGCCCTCTGACACTTTTCTCTCTTCCCCAATATCATCTAACCGGGCATATTCCCCAGAACGGATCAGCACAGGATTAGCCCCCTCTGACACTTTTCCCTCTTCCCCAATATCATCTAACCGGGCATATTCCCCAGAACGGATCAGCACAGGATTAGCCCCTCTGACACTTTTCCCTCTTCCCCAATATCATCTAACCGGGCATATTCCCCAGAACGGATCAGCACAGGATTAGCCCCTCTGACACTTTTCCCTCTTCCCCAATATCATCTAACTGGACCTTTTCACCAGAATGGATCAGCACAGGATTAGCCCCTCTTCCCCATCTTCCTACTGTAACCCACCTACCTACCCCTGGCTCCCACTCCTCCATACCACCATCCTTCTTTTGACTGGCCCCAGCCAGGACATGATGGGTGAAGACCAAACTCCTTTCCAAGATATTAATGGTGCACAGCGTTGGTAGTTGCTTCTGTAGACCCAAAATCCAAGAAAACAAACTCGCTCATGTCTTTCACAATAGTATTTGTCCCTGTAATGAATACATAGAGCGGGATGAGCACTGAACCATTTAGCACTCATTGATGATATCGTTAACATGATCTACAGTGAAGGAAATGTGTATTTGCTCCCCTGTTGATTTTGAATGTTGGCCCACTCACAAAGAAATGATAGGTCTAAAAATTGAATGTTCGGTGTATTGTAACACTGAGAGACAGAATAGCAACAACAAATTCAGCAGAAATGCATGTCTAACAAATGATGACTGATCTGCATGTTCATGAGGGAAATAAGTATTTGATCCCCTTCACAAAACATGACTTAGTACTTGGTGGCAAATCCCTTGTTGGCAATCACAGAGGTCAGACGTTTCCTGTAGTTGGCCCCCAGGTTCGCACACATCTCAGGAGGGATTTTGGCCCACTCCTCTTGGCAGATCCTCTCCAAGCCATTAAGGTTTGGTGGCTGACATTTGGCAACTCGAACTTTCAGCTCCCTCCACAGATTTTCAATCGGATTAAGGTCTGGAGACTGGATCTTAATGTGCTTCTTCTTCAGCCACTCCATTGTTGCCTTGGCCGTGTGTTTTGGGTCATTGTCATGTTGGAACACCCATCCACCACCCATTTTCAATGCCCTGGCTGAGGGAAGAAGGTTCTCACCCAAGATGGGTTCCTTCACTGTATACGGGGATTAAAAATGTGAACACTGCTTAAATACAACAATTTTTTTTTATAGATTATCCAAGGAATGTGGAAGAGCACAATGGGAGGCTGCTCAGTGTATAGAGTAGCAGATCAGGTTCAGCTTGTCCCCTCCCTAGCCATTCATGAGCTTAGTCATAGAGGACCCTATGATTAGACTTGTGAATGGGTGAAGTGCAGTAGAGGGCTGTGGCTAGAGAGAGAGGAGAAGCTGACGCCGATCTGCTACTCTACAGCTTGGAAGGTTTCCTGGTTCACACGTCCACATTCCTTAGCTATATCATTGTATCATGCAGGACGGGCACTTTGGAGGCTAGCACCTGGTAGTGTTTTGGAATCAATGTTTTGCATATGTAAGCTTGGAGCAACGCTTTTTGACGAGGCTGGCCTCTCTTGTATCTCCAGACCAGGCTGAAACAGATAGTGCCAGGGGACAGGAGGAACACAAGTGCCAGTAGATGTTGATAGCAGAACTTGCCGCTGGAGATGTAGGCTTGATAGAACTGGCAGGGCATTCGGTCAGAAACAGAAGTCCTGCAGGATGGACCAGCAAGAGTTAAGGAGGATCTCCACGTGCACTGCAAGTTCACAGAGCATGGTGGCAGGAACTTGTGGCAGGAACCCACTGTTTTGGCTGGAGCAGATGCAGATGACAGCCAGGGCAGGCCCTCGGTAGTAATGTGGCCTGGTATGGTTCAGGAGGGGGGCACTCGCTCGTCCCTCCCCTTTCCTGACCTGCAGGGCTGCATGCTTGGAAAAGGATGTGGTGTGGATTTTGGGGGGACCACCATGCCATTTTTAAATAAAATGTTGGCGTGGGGTTCCCCTCAAAATCATACCAGACCTGAAAGGCTTGGTATGGATGGGGAGACCCCACGCCATTTTTTTGCAAAATTTTTAATTGTCTGCAATTCTTTTTACATTCAGCTGTCAGCGGGGAACCCCACTGACAGCTAAAACATTAAACAATGTTTCACTACTAAAATACCGCATGACTTCATATTACAACTCATTAGTAACTGAGCGGTATCTTACCACATACTCAGATGTGGTGAGATACCACTTAGTGAACTGTCCTGGTATCCATTTCCTCTCTCCCCGGACCCCGCATTCACTATATCCGCTCTCCCCGGACCCTGCATTCACTATATCCGCTCTCCCCGGACCCACGCATTCACTATATCCGCTCTCCCCGGACCCTGCATTCACTATATCCGCTCTCCCCGCATTCACTATATCCGCTCTCCCCGGACGCCGCATTCACTATATCTGCTCTCCCCGGACCCCCCCGGACGCGCATTCACTATATCCGCTCTCCCCGGACCCCGCACTCACTATATCCGCTCTCCCCGGACCCTGCATTCACTATATCCGCTCTCCCCGGACCACGCATTCACTATATCCGCTCTCCCCGGACCTCGCATTCCCTATATACGGTCTCCCCGGACCACGCACTCACTATATCCACTCTCCCCGGACCCCGCATTCACTATATCCGCTCTCCCCGGACCCCGCATTCACTATATCCGGTCTCTCCCCGGACCCCGCATTCACTATATCCCCTCTCCCCGGACCCTGCATTCACTATATCTGGTCTCCCCGGACCCCGCATTCACTATATCCGCTCTCCCCCCGACCCCGCGTTCACTATATCCGCTCTCCCCGGACCCTGCATTCACTATATCTGGTCTCCCCAGACCCCGCATTCACTATATCTGGGCTCCCCGGACCCCGCATTCACTATATCTGGTCTCCCCAGACCCCGCATTCACTATATCTGGTCTCCCCAGACCCCGCATTCACTATATCTGGGCTCCCCCGGACCCCGCATTCACTATATCTGCTCTCCCTGGACCCCGCATTCACTATATCCGCTCTCCCACAGTACACACAGAATATGGAAATGCAATTATTTTAGTAAATATAAACTGCTAAATACCTTTTCTCATCAGCAGTATAGAGCAGTCTTGTGACTTCTATCAGTGTCCAGCAGAGCACTGGTTAAAGCTTATAGGAGGAGCTTTCTTTCTGTTCTAGGAGGATGCAGAACCCCTTACCTTGTCTGGCCTGTGCTGATCACATTCACTCCCCAAAGAACAGAAATCTCTTTCTAGCAATACACACCAAACTGAGCATGTGTATGTGGCTACAGGTTCTGTCTGTCTCATCAGGAGATAAGACATGGACATTTAAACAAGAGAAGCAGAGAAGACAGGATCAAACAGCCTTTTTACACAATGCAGAGGATTAACCCCTTAGGTCCCACAGTGAGTATAACAAGCATACTTTACTGCATCTACAGACTGATTGTACTGCGGTGGGTTTAGTAAGACTTTAAAGGAGAATTAATAAAAAAAAAAAGATTAATTAAACCCACAAGTGCTTTTTTTATCACTACTATTCCTTTATACTGGCTTTGGAATTTACAAATGCAACAATTTAGAAACTGGACGAAAGGTTTAGCACCGGGAAACATTTTTTGAAAGTCAAATAGTGCATTTTATATAAACAAATGAGGAGGAAAGAGGGACTTTGTTCCAAATCAGGATAGTCCCTTGAAATCAGGGACAGCTGGGAGCTATGTATACAATACACACACCAGAACAAGGGGGGTCACACTACCAGACGCTTCTCGGGGCTGCAGTTCCTCTGAGCTCCACAAGGTGGGGGGATCTCACTTCTACCCAGACAGGAAGTCTCTATGGAATAGACAGGAAGTGATGTCAGATACAGACAGGAAGTGATGTCAGGCACAGACAGGAAATTCTGGGTGAGAGGTGAGTGGGGAGGAAGTGGAGAGGAGACGTTGGTGGAAGTGGCAGCAGAGGAGGTAATAAGATGTTATATTCTATTTACACCCAGTAACCCCCCGTCATGTTCGTCCTCTTCCCCCATAGTCGCGTCCGTCCCCTTCCTCCATGGTCGCGTCCGTCCCCTTCCTCCATAGTCACGTCCGTCCCCTTCCTCCATGGTCGCGTCCGTCCCCTTCCTCCATGGCCGCGTCCGTCCCCCTTCCTCCATGGTCGCGTCCGTCCCCTTCCTCCATGGTCGCGTCCGTCCCCTTCCTCCATGGTCGCGCGTCCGTCCCCTTCCTCCATGGTCGCGTCCGTCCCCTTCCTCCATGGTCGCGTCCGTCCCCTTCCTCCATGGTCGCGTCCGTCCCCTTCCCCCCATGGTCACGTCCGTCCTCTTCCCCCATGGTCACGTCCGTCCTCTTTCCTCCATGGTCACGTCCGTCCTCTTTCCCCATGGTCACGTCCGTCCTCTTCCCCCCCCATGGTCACGTCCGTCCTCTTCCCCATGGTCACGTCCGTCCTCTTCCCCCATGGTCACGTCCGTCCTCTTCCCCCATGGTCACGTCCGTCCTCTTCCCCCATGGTCACGTCCGTCCTCTTCCCCCATGGTCACGTCCGTCCTCTTCCCCCATGGTCACGTCCGTCCTCTTCCCCCATAGCCACGTCCGTCCTCTTCCCCCCATAGCCACGTCCGTCCTCTTCCCCCATAGCCACGTCCGTCCTCTTCCCCCATAGCCACGTCCGTCCTCTTCCCCCATAGCCACGTCCGTCCTCTTCCTCCATAGCCACGTCCGTCCTCTTCCTCCATAGCCACGTCTCCTCTTCCCCCATAGTCACGTCCGTCCTCTTCCCCCATAGTCACGTCCGTCCTCTTCCCCCATAGTCACGTCCGTCCTCTTCCTCCATAGTCACGTCCGTCCTCTTCCCCCATAGCCACGTCCGTCCTCTTCCCCCATAGCCACGTCCGTCCTCTTCCCCCATAGCCACGTCCGTCCTCTTCCTCCATAGCCACGTCCGTCCTCTTCCTCCATAGCCACGTCCGTCCTCTTCCCCCATAGTCACGTCCGTCCTCTTCCCTCCATAGTCACGTCCGTCCTCTTCCCCCATAGTCACGTCCGTCCTCTTCCTCCATAGTCACTGTGACATCTTTTATCTCCAGCAGATGATGATACACACATATATAGTGTGGGGAACCCAGATTAACCCCTTCAGGGGCACAACATTCCCCCACTTCCGGGGCCGGAACATTCTCCTCATTGTGGAGATGGGTCACCTTAGCAATCTCCTGTAACGAGGGATGAGATTTAGGTTGTGCAGAAATTCGACCCAATTTCAAGGATTCTGATTTTGATTCGCTTTATGGGTGATTCGTTGTGGCGCTCCGATTCTGATCTGGATCCGACATGAAGTGAAACAAAACAATATGTATACCTTAACGCCTCCCCCTCCAGAGGATTCCCCCCCCCCCCCCCCTTCCTGATCAGGCCATTTTTTTGCGTTACGGCGCTGAGTTACTTTAACTGACAAATGCGCAGTCATGCAATGCTGTACCCAAATGAAATGTATGTCGTTTTTTTCCCTGGAATTCAGCTTTGTTTTGGTGGTATTTATTTTTGCACTATGAAAAAAAAAAGACCAACAATTATGAGAAAAAAACAATGTTTTTGACTTTTTGCTATAAAACATGTCCAGTAAAAAAATGTTAAAATCAAATTTCATCCAAAATATATTCTGCTCCATGTCTTTGCTAAAAAAAAATCCCAATACGTGTAAATTAGTTTGTTTACGTGAAATTTATAGCATCTACAAATGTCGGTATATATTCTGGGATTTTTTTTTTTTTAATTTTTACTAATAATGGCGGTGATTAGTGACTTATAGTGGGACTGTGGCAGACATTCTGACACTGGGGGGGGGGGGACTGACTTGGTGACACTGCGGATCACCGATCAACGGAAAAGAGCCGATGACGTTGGCTCTGTCATGTGATCAGCTGTGTCCAATCACAGCTGATAGCATGTAAATAAGGAAAAAGTCGGTTATCGGCGTTCCTCTCCTCACGAGACGTCACGCTGGGAGGACGTCATGACGTCATTTACATATGTAAATGGTTTTCAAACCACATGTGAGGTATCGCCACGTACGTCAGAGCAAGAGCAATAATTCTCACACTAGACCTCTGTACCTTTACACTGCTAACCTGTAGAGATTTTTAAAACATCACCCATGGAGATTTTTAAGTACCTCAGTTTCACACCATTCCATGAGCGTGCGCAATTGTAAAGCGTGACATGTTGGGTATCTAGTTGCTCGCCGTAACATCCTCTTTCATATTTTACAAAAAAAAAGGGGTATAGTGGGTTTTTTTTTTTTAAATAAAAGTGTATTTTTTTTCCAAAAAAATATATATTAATTTTTCAAAACTGCGCATTTCAATTTCTGTTTTTGACCAAGTACATTTTGAGTTTTCATCACCAGAATTTTCATTTCAGTGCACAACTAAAATGAATATAGCTAATCTTCCAAAAAAAAACTTAAAAAAATATGAATCGAGCAACAAATATATGAAATGAATCTGAAAATACGAACAAAATTCTATGATTTACCTAACGAATGAATCTGAAGCAAAACAAATTTTTCCGTCATCTACATTTCAACCAGGTACTAATGACAAGTGCCGGAGACAAGAGAAAGGCATGACAGAACTTCAAGATGGCCACCAAAGCTGAAATAGGAGATAAAGGTGGACAGTTCAATGGCTGCTGTGAGCCCATACTTTTATAGTGAAGGGGCAGGGTTATCAATTTCTTCATATTGTTGGCTCCTCCAAATCAGTTGACCAAAGGCTAAGCAATGCATTATGGGTTGTTCCAAATTTAGTGCTCCAAACAAACAAAAAAGGGTTATGACTGTGCTTGTATTACACAAGGCATTCCTTAGCATTCAGCAAAAACTTCCTGTTTGCTAACTTGGGAGGAGAAGTGACTCATCCTTCAGACTGAAGAAATTCATGATGAGAGTTGTGGGATGCTGTTCCCTCTTCATATATGGGATTAGACCCCCAAAGTCTGTAAGTACCCCTATGTACTGTGGAATGTTATGCATATAGAGGAAGTTGATGTGTAGTCTGTTTATATTTCAGTTTTAATTCATTCATTCATTCTCACATTGATTTATTCACACTTCTATGTCACATGTTATCATAAAAGATCATCGGTTATCAATCATCGACTCTTTACTGTGTGGATCAAAGGTTATACTGTGTTACCTCTGTAACCCTTTCATAACTGCAGAGAAGGCAGGACAATGAACATGAGGGAATTGAACTTGAGGCAAACCTGAATCTCATTCATATATATCCCCTCCATGATCACTATTGAACGAGTTCTCAGCATCCATTCACTATCACAACCCCAACACACTGACAGTATGGCCGCGCTGTCAAACCCCCCTAGATTTGGGGACAAACCCTGTGAAGTCTGCAGCCTCTGGCGCTGCATTTGGCTATAAAACCCAAATCTCTTGTTCAGAGGACAAGAACAAAGCCTTACTTTAATGAAATGAGTCAAATAATAGTAGATCGGGGTGCTGCCGTCTATTGGCAAATAAATTGAGAAAAAGAAAAATTCCAAAGCCAAAGTACGCTGTGCCTAAGTACAGTATACTACTGCTTATGCTGTCCCCAAAAACTGCTGGTCCCTTCCTTAGGCTTCCACCAAACCTGTAATTAAAGGATGTATGTATTCCCCATGTTCTCTTCAAAGCTGTGTGAGAAGTTCCATCCTAAAACCCTCCAAATTCCACAGCCAAAGTACGCCCTGCCTAATAAATATATTGCTGCCGACCCTGTCCCTGCTAAAAATAGGCAAAAATAGTTTGGAGACCCAACAGACTTCACTTGGAAAATGTTATTTCTGATCAGATAGGTAGGACAGGATATAACAGGTGTGTAGGGAGCGAGAAACCCAACAAACACAAAATAACCCAAGCTACACATGTCCCCAGGTGCATTAACCCCTTACATCCCCATCCTAATATTGTAGAACCAACACAATCCAGATAATTCTGTGCTATCTGTCTACAGAGAAACCCACAAAGATCACGTGACCACATCAATGAGGATGGAGGAGGACTGGAGTCACATGACTGAGAAGATACTAAACCTCACCCTGGAGATCATCTACCTGCTGACTGGAGAGGTGAGGAGGATTCTGGGAGGACACATGACATCACTCTTATCTTTATTAATAAAACACAGACCTGACCGGAGAGGTGAGGAGGATTCTGGGAGGTCACATAACATCACTCTTATATCTATTAATAAAACACAGGACCTGACCGGAGAGGTGAGGAGGATTCTGGGAGGTCACATGACATCACTCTTATATCTATTAATAAAACACAGACCTGACCGGAGAGGTGAGGAGGATTCTGGGAGGTCACATGAATCACTCTTATCTCTATTAATAAAAAACACAGACCTGACCGGAGAGGTGAGGAGGATTCTGGGAGGTCACATGACATCACTCTTATCTCTATTAATAAAACACAGACCTGACCGGAGAGGTGAGGAGGATTCTGGGAGGTCACATGACATCACTCTTATCTCTATTAATAAAACACAGACCTGACCGGAGAGGTGAGGAGGATTCTGGGAGGTCACATGACATCACTCTTATCTCTATTAATAATAAAACACAGACCTGACGGAGAGGTGAGGAGGATTCTGGGAGGTCACATGACATCACTCTTATCTCTATTAATAAAACACAGACCTGACCGGAGAGGTGAGGAGGATTCTGGGAGGTCACATGACATCACTATTATCTCTATTAATAAAACACAGACATGACCGGAGAGGTGAGGAGGATTCTGGGAGGTCACATGACATCACTCTTACCTCTGTTAATAAAACACAGACCTGACCGGAGAGGTGAGGAGGATTGTGGGAGGTCACATGACATCATCTTATCTCTATTAATAAAACACAGACCTGACCGGAGAGGTGAGGAGGATTCTGGGAGAGTCACATGACATCACTCTTATCTAATAAAACTATTAATAAACACAGACCTGACCGGAGAGGTGAGGAGGATTCTGGGAGGTTGCATGACATCACTCTCATCTCTATTAATAAAACACAGACCTGACCGGAGAGGCAAATAGATACTTTTTACCCAACACAGTCTTTTACAATTGCGCACGCTCATCATGGAATGGTGTGAAACTGAGGGTACTTAAAAATCTCCATGGGTGATGTTTTAAAAATCTCTACAGGTTAGCAGTGTAAAGATACAGAGGTCTAGTGCGAGAATTATTGCTCTTGCTCTGACGTACGTGGCGATACCTCACATGTGGTTTTAAAACCATATGTATGGGGCGTGGCCTACATATGTGTTCACCATTATGTGTGAGCATGGGGGGATGGGGGCACTTTAAACTTTTCTTTTAATTTATTTCATGGTTTTTTTTGTTCTTTTTTTTTGCACTGTTCCTTAAAAAAAAATTTAATCACTTTTATTCTTATCACAAGGAATGCACGCATCCTTGTGATAGAAATAATTAGTGACAGGTCCTCTTTATGGAGAGATGTGGGTTCAATAGGACCCCCCATATCTCTTCTCTGCAATATTAAGCATTGGATAAAAAAAAAAAAAAAAAAAAAGCATTGATCTAGTGCTTTAAAGAAAAAAAAAATGGCCGGTATCGAAAGTGACATCGCTCGGTCCTCCAAGGGTATAGAGATGAGTGGAGGCCATCTTTCCTTCACTTATCTCTATGCCCAGAGCCGGGATTATTCTGGTTTCTCAGGTAAGGCTGAGAACTCTACCGAACGGTGGCAAACAGTTTTTTCAGCACCTGTATTGGTGCTTTTTTTTTTCATTTTGAAGAGGTGAGGAGGATTCTGGAGGTCACATGGCATCACTCTATCTCTATTAATAAAAAACACAGACCTGACCAGAGAGGTGAGGAGGATTCTGGGAGGTCGCATGACATCACTCTCATCTCTATTAATAAACACAGACCTGACCGGAGAGGTGAGGAGGATTCTGGGAGTCTAACATGATATTCCATTGGTTCCTCACTACAGAGATTTCCTCTTCTGAAGTCAGGTGACCATATGACCATCACAGTGCCTCCATGTGACTCCCTAAACCCTGAGAGACACAACATGCAGAAGATTCTAGAAGTCACCAAGAAGATGATGGAGCTGCTGACAGGAGAGGTGAGCGGTGCCGGGAATTCTGGGACATTCTCCAGTAACAGACAAGGGATGTGTCTGGATGGTGACTGTATCATTGTGTGTGTCAGGTTCCTATAAGGTGTCAGGGTGTCACCGTCTATTTCTCCATGGAGGAGTGGGAGTATTTAGAAGGACACAAGGATCTCTACAAGGACGTCATGATGGACAATCAGCCGCCCCTCACATCACCGGGTAAGAGGAGACTTTATTGTAAAGGAGAGAGCAGTACGGAGGATCCACCTAGATCCCCCATCATCTGATAAACACATAGAAACAATGGATTCAGTCAGTGTGTGTGTTTCCTACAGATGGATCCAGTCATGGGAACCCACCAGAGAGATGTCCCCGTCCTCTGTATTCCCGGGATTCCACACAGGAAGGTCACACCATCCCTCACCATCATCAGGTAGATGAGGAGCAATCACCGATAGTTGAGATTTATGCAAAAGCATGTCTGTTATAATGAATGTTTCTTTTTTTTTGTTCAGAGTGGAAACCTCTCGTATTATAACATTGTTGTTAAAGAAGAGTATAAAGAGGAGGATGAGGAGTATGGAGTGATGGAGGAGTTTTCAGAAGGACACGAGGATATGATGGAGCCACCTAATACCAGGAACCCACCAGAGAGATGTCCCCGTCCTCTGTATTCGCAGGATTCCACACAGGAAGGTCACACCATCCCTCACCATCATCAGGTCGGTGGAGTTGAGGGTCTGGAACATAAAGTGATGGAACACTCTGACATGTGGAGACGATGTGTGGACTCTACAAGATGATATTTTCTATGTGATCTCACATCATAAATCCTTCTATATTACAGATGTTATTTTTTGTCATTCTGTTGGTTTAGGGTAAAGATCTGATGAACATGAAAGATGAAGGCGAAGAAGAAGAGATGTATGTGAGGGATGATCAGCAATATCTATGGAGGAGGATGGAATAACGGGGACATTTATAGAGGAGGACACTCCTACAGAGATCAGCACAGGTGAGCCAGAATATGTTCTTCTGTTATTATTGGATGGTCCCGAGTAAAGTGGGAGACAAGTGATATCAGCCAGTTAGGATGAGCTTAAGTTTCGGTCCAAACACAAGTTCAGCAATGTAAGCAAAGAAGCAAAATCATGTGAGAATTGTGGAGTTTCCCTCATATTTCATACTAGGCCCTTCAGGTCTGGTATTCAATGAATAAGTTCCCAATGCAAAAATCAAGAAAAAAAAGTTGCCACCCCCCAAAAAATCCACCATGTCATATGCCTGACAATCTCTTGCCTGTTAGACTAGAGATTAGCCAGGACAGCTTCACCAGCTCCTATTGACTTCCAACACTTAAGATGTTTGGATCCAGCATCAAACATTTACTCATGTTTACCATAATCTGCTTGAACCAAACCCATGTGTTTTCGTCTCATCACTACTATTGGTCATGTTTTTATCTTTTTCCAGGACACACCATTGGGAAACCCTCAAATGATCGTCTCACTTTATCTCTAAGCTACAAAATGGAAGACGAGGATATCGCACGATATCGTGCAGGAGAAAGGGCATTGATCTCAACTATGGATGGTGGACTTCACAGCATAGATAGTCCATTGAATCCCTCTGACTCTGAGCAGCCTCGTACTGTGAGGGATGGTGCTGGAATTCAGGGGGAGGAGACATTTTCCTGTCCTGAATGCGGGGAAAGTTTTAGCTCTGAATTAAGTCTTAATGTACATCAGAGATCTCACACGGGGGAGAAGTCGCTTTCCTGTTCTGAATGCTGGAAATGTTTCACACGGAAATCAGAACTTATTAGACATCAGAGATCTCATACAGGGGAGAAGCCTTATTCCTGTGCCGAGTGTGGAAAAAGTTATACACAAAAATCAGCTCTTGTTATACATCAGAGATCTCACACAGGTGAGAAGCCGTATTCCTGTCTAAAGTGCGGGAAATGTTTTTCGAAGAGGGCCCTTTTAACTGCACATCAGAGGTCTCACATGGTGGAGAAACCGTATTCCTGCGCTGAGTGTGGGAACAGATTTTCACAGAAATCAGCCCTTGTTGCACATCAGAGATTGCACACGGGGGAGAAGCCGTATTCCTGTCCTGAGTGCGGGAAATGTTTTCCATGGAAATCACAACTTGTTATACATCAGAGATCTCACACAGGGGAGAGGCCATTTTCATGTCCTGAGTGTGGAAAATCCTTTTCACAAAAGTCTGGTCTTAATAAACACCAGATATGCCACTCACAGGAGAAACCTTATTCCTGCCCTGAATGCGGGAAATGTTTTTCAAGAAAAAACATTCTTAATGTACATCAAAGAAGCCACCAAAAAATTACTTCTTTCTCACTCTAGTGTAGACTCATCCTAATAGACAAGGATCTCTCCTGTGGCAAGCCCACGTCACCTTAACATACAGCTGATCACCAAGGATGTGGTGTCAACTTAGTAGCCTCTCAAATTGCTTCCCTATTTCTCAGGGATTTCTGGGATGGCATGGCTATGGAAGGGAAGGGAATTACATGCTTCCCCATTTCCAATGCATGGTCAAGGAGGATGAGTGATCTATCTTCACCTGGGCTTGACAGCTATTTGAGCCAACTGGGCCAGGGCTTGACAGCTGAAAGGGTTGTCTGGGCTTGGACTTGACTTTATGAGTGAGCTAGCTGCACCTGGGCTAGATGGAGAAATGGGCTAATTGGGTTTGGCCTTGACAGACAATTAAGCTGGCTTGGGTTGGCATGAAAAGTGGGAATAGGGCTAGATGGGTCTGAGGTCTAACTCGACCTTGGCTTGACAGCATGCTGAGGTGCCTAAGTCTGGTCTTGGTCTACTAGGAAATGAAGCTGAGTGATCTATCTTCACCTGGGCTTGACAGCTATTTGAGCCAACTGGGTCAGAGCTTGACAGCTGAAAGGGTTGTCTGGGCTTGGACTTGACATATGAGTAAGCTAGCTGTACCTGGGCTTGATAGAGAAATGGGCTAATTGGGTTTGGCCTTGACAGATAATTAGGCTGGCTTGGGTTGGCATGAAAAGTGGGGATAGGGCTAGATGGGTCTGAGCTCGAATAGTTTGGGTGGGCTAACTCGACCTTGGCTTGACAGCACGCTGAGGTGCTTAGGCCTGGTCTTGGTCTACTAGGAAATTAAGCTGAATGATCTATCTTCACCTGGGCTTGACAGCTATTTGAGCCAACTGGGTCAGGGCTTGACAGCTGAAAGGGTTGTCTGGGCTTGGACTTGACTTTATGAGTAAGCTAGCTGTACCTGGGCTTGATAGAGAAATGGGCTAATTGGGTTTGGCCTTGACAGATAATTAGGCTGGCTTGGGTTGGCATGAAAAGTGGGGGTAGGGCTAGATGGGTCTGAGCTCAATAGTTTGGGTGGGCTAGCTTGACCTTGGCTTGACAGCACGCTGAGGTGCTTAGGCCTGGTCTTGGTCTACTAGGAAATGAAGCTGAATGATCTATCTTCACCTGGGCTTGACAGCTATTTGAGCCAACTGGGCCAGGGCTTGACAGCTGAAAGGGTTGTCTGGGCTTGGACTTGACTTTATGAGTAAGCTAGCTGTACTTGGGCTTGATAGAGAAATGGGCTAATTGGGTTTGGCCTTGACAGATAATTAGGCTGGCTTGGGTTGGCATGAAAAGTGGGGGTAGGGCTAGATGGGTCTGAGCTCAACAGTTTGGGTGGGCTAGCTTGACCTTGGCTTGACAGCATGCTGAGGTGCTTAGGCCTGGTCTTGGTCTGCTGGGTGTGTTGACTGGACAGCCTAGGCTGAGAGACCTGGACTGTGGGCCATTATTAAGTGACAGCATCCTACTCCACACACACACACACACACGGGCAGGGAAGAGCGATAGAAGAGAAGGTACTGATTATGATTGTGATCTGCAGAGTGCTTTTTTTTTTGTTTGTTTCTGTTGGCCACTGGTTCCCTCTGCCCTTTTGCTGACCCACCGCCAATATACAGCCACTACAGGTAAAGGTCCAGTGTGGAGCTGCTCTGCAGTCATTACCCAGGTCGTTGTAATCACTCAGATGAAAGAACAGTCTAGAGGCTTGCGTGTAGCACCCCGTCTTTACCCAAATTTAGTTTTAGCTGGGTTGTAGTCAGTCCAGAATGTTTTGTATAGTTTTTCACTTGGTCTTTCCCTTAGTGTGGTTGTGATTTCTCATTGCTGCTAGTAGGTGTCACTGGTATGAGATTCCACAACAAGAGTGATCTATGAACCCAGCAGGGCGTTCATTGCTACTGGCGCATGCTGAGGGAGGCTATAAATATTTAGGGCAGGCTTTGTGATCTCTTGCTTGCCCCAAGCTGAAGTCTGAGGAATTTCTGGCAGGACTAAACTGTCCTTTGGGCCCATTACCTGTTTGGGGCCTGCCATGTGCTCCGGATGTGGTTATGGTCCTGGAGCTCTCCTGCTTGTCAAGATGGAGACCCAGGGGAGGACATTTCTGAAGATAGCCAAGAAGGTGGCTAGCTTCCCACAAGGCCTGTCACGGAGAAAGATGCACTGAACCCCTAAGAAACCATACAGAACTGGAATCAGCAAAAGAGGAAAGTCCATGTACCAGCTATAATGCTGCCTACTGTGCTGTTGGGTTGGCTGAAAGGTTCTGTCAGAAGCCGGACATGGAGCTGGATGTAACATACATGTAACATACATGTAAACGTGATAATTACCAGTGGAGATGCTTGGTCGTAGATATAGGTCAGTTTAGTCGTTTTACAAATACAATATTCTCTTAATCAGTAATCAATAGCAGACAGATGTTCCTCAATTAGAATTTGAAAAGGATGGAGCAAGACTCTAGAGTTGACACCTAGATGCCAAGAAAAAGATCCCATCCATGTAGGTTGCCACCTTTCTGAAAAGTCCTAGCCAGTTTGTCTACAAGCCCAGCGGGGTACGAGGTCTGGCAGCTCCCAAATGTTTACCTTCAATTGATTTATAGCAAAGATCAGAGGAATAGATTGTATCTCTCAAAAAAGCTAAAATATTAGTTGCAGAGGGATGAAAATACTTCCTTCTGATTGGACACCTTTGAAATCCCAAAAATAGTTATTTGGAGCCTAATTGTGGCAGCCAAAAAGTGACTGATTTTGTTGCGATCAGACTGACGCGTTGGTGTGGGAAAACCTATCCCCGACCCAGCCATCAGAACTATTTATGGCCCATTGACCCAGGCACCAGAACCATTCATGGCCCATTTAACTCTGGTCCTTTCAGAACACAGAACTGTCCTATGGGTTGTGAAGGGAACACCCCCCCAGGGTTGATTGGCCAAGGGCTAAATTCCGGCCCACATCCATAACTCAATAAATTGAGGAGCCTGAGATATGGACGGGGTGATTCACACGGAGCCAGTCCAATTGGTGGATTGTGGATGTTCTGACATGCTCAGTTTGCAGGATAAACCTCAGTAAAGTTTCTGTTTTATCCTTTTATTTTCATAGCCAAACTGTGTATGCCTTGTTGTCTTTTTTTATTGTAATTCTTCTCTTTGTACATATTTTATGCGCTGCCCACTCTCGGGATATTAAAATTTAAAATAAGTGTCTTCTGTGTACTAAGCTAGGTCTCAATTACCTGGAGAGATTGTTGTATTGTAGTGTCTATGTGCTCGGTCTAAATTCATTTCCAATCTGTATGCAGTTGTACTGCGTGTTGGTAGATTGCATGCAGATTGTAAACTAGCAAATCTGCCAGATGGAGATCTGTGTGTGGATGGTAGCCTAGTAGACTAGTCAGTAGACAAACTGCTAGGTGGTGGCAAGCTACCATTTGATGT